ATACGGTGATCAACGATGCAAACGAAAGACTTCTTTCAAATGATCAAAGGGGAGCACATCATTAAAGATGCAACGGGGATATCAAGGTTATCAAGGGATCGATGGCCAAAAGCTCCCTTTCTGATCTTTCTGCAGCTTCCCACTGTGCAAGCTTCGACTGTAGCTCTGAGGTGTGGTGTAGCGGCAGCCAGTAGCGGTGCGGCAGGAGTCTGCTGACGGACAGCTGGAAAAGCCTGGCGCTCCCGTTTAGAGCCTCCTCCGTTCGAATTCCACATGTTAAACTGTTAGGTTAGGAGTTTCTAAGTTTCTAAGTTTCACACACACAAAAGGACGCAGAAATGTCAGTTCCTTGGCACTAAGTATGTGATAGTCGGGCACATGTTGTTTCTCAAAGTCTATTCACTAAGGCTCAGACCATAGAGATGATAGCACTGCTCGCATGCCATGAAGGCACCATTGCGACTTCCCGGATCAGTGACGATGCAAAAATTTTGATTGTGGAAGTCGCCATAGCGACGGCGACGGTGCATACCCCACGAATCACTGTACATGTTGTTGTACATATACCTCACTGGCGGTGGATTTTTGGACCGAAACAACACCCTGATGCCAATACGAAACAAGAAAAACAGAAGAAATCGTGATTCAAAAGCAGCATTTTGGCAAATGCTAGTGTGCGCGGCTCCAAGACCACCCACAAATCCAGCCGCTCCATACATGGCTACATTTGGGGAACTCTGCTGTGGAATTGCATTGTAGCCTGCAGGATCTGCAGGGCATGGCAATTAATCAAAAAAAATGAACAAACAACAGCAACATATGCAAAAATGAGTTTTCAAGTGAACCAGAAGTTGCAGGCAACTGCCTACATGATCGAGCCTGTATATCCGTAGGGCGTCTGATAGGGCATGGTGCCGCCGTAGTTGTTCATCATGTGTGGCCGGTTCGCATAACCATATGGTGTTTCTGGAATGGTCCTCCGCCTCCGTAGGGAAGCTTCAACACTGCCTCAGTTTGCAGCTGAAGTTACTGCGCTTTTCTGGATATTTTGTTAGCACTGGCGCAATTAACTGTGAAACTGTAAAAGTGAAAGTAGTGCCAATTTCCAAAACAGCATTAGGTTGTTGATCGGTAGCATATAAAAGTTGTTGTCAGTACTTTCTCCTAACTAATGATTCAATATCAACACACATCACTTTACGTGTTCTAATTTGAGATGCAGCCTAAAGTAGAAATGCAAAACACACCGGTCGTAGTTATGCACAAGTTGTTTGGAGATATGACAGCAATTGACAGCAAACACATTTAGTGCACTAGAATTGGTGGCTACCTTCAAAATAGATGTTATCATACTGTACCAGCGCGAGTGACAAACAACTTGAGTGTCTCACCGCGGACAACTTCCCAGGCAAAACAACATCATTTGGTGTCCAAAAGTCAAGGACAACAAACCTGTGGGCAACTTGGAATAACGACTACCAGGAACACATTCAGCCAGAAGAGCTTTCATTGCGTTAAGTTCCAGAAAGCCCAGGGGTTCAGGACATCTGTTCACACATGTCTAATCATTAGAGCCTGAGGACAGCACTTTATGGTTTGGAATGGTTTGGACGAACAGTAAAACTAAAAAAATATAGCGGTCATGCACTACCTTGGTTTTCTATACTGTCTATACTTGTTGCATGCACAAAGTAAATATATTCTATATAATAACATTAACATACATATTAAATCCACCATATCTGATCCATACCATATCCATATCATACTACTACAATTACCGCTGGGTTCAATCCAAGAACAAAGTGACCAAGATTGACCAAGTTGCTGGTGGCACGTCTGCGAGGAGTTGTGCTAAACGTTTGTCCACTCAAACTGCTACTCCTTCGCCTTCCTTCCGTGGGCGATGGCACCGGTGGTGGTGGTGCCCTCCTTCGCACTGCTGGTGGTGGAGGGGCACGGCGTCGCTGTGAGACCGTGGATGGTGCTGACCAGGATCTACGTCGGGCGGAGGTCGATGCCGCATACGGAGAACGCCTCCGGGAACCTCCAGAACTCCAGCTGCGGCGGCTGCTGCTGAAGCTACCAGAACGACGACGGGCGGAAAGTCGACGGAGTGGATCACAGCTGTCGGTTTGCTCGTTGTAGGTGGTGGCGGGATCATCACCTGGGGGAATTCTTCCGTGAAACAAAGGATGAGTGTATATGATATTGTGAGAATTTCCGGCAATTCTGTGTGACACCGGCGAAGTGTCTGGCAACGTGTCCTGCAAAGTGTCCTTTGTAGCATGTTGCAGCATGCTGTAGCATGGTCACACGCAGAGAATACAAGTAGCAGGTGCACATTGTCAAACATGCTCTTGGTCGTTTGCTGCCAAACAGGCGTCACATTCACTTCACAAGCCAGGTCACAAGTCTCATAACTGAAGTAGAAGCCAATGCCCAGCCAAGACTTCTTGGCAATGGGACAAGCCTCGTTCACATAGCACCAGGAGTCACAACACCATTCCTCGGACTGCACCGAGGGCATGACATGCCCCAAGACAACGCTATCAATGCGCGCCTGTTTATAATTTAAGAATATTTTCGAAGGAAGTTTAGAAGTCAAACTTCCGACAATATGGACAGATGAGAAGCAGAGCAGGGAAGAGGCAGAGAGAAGAGAAAGATTAGAAGAAAAAAGAGTAGAAGAGAAAGAGTCAGAAGAAAGAAGATGCAATGCGCGAAAAGGTAGGAAAGTCGCGAAACGCTGTGTTTTTCCTATGATTTGGGGCTCCGGAGGGTCGAAAAGTAGGCTCGCTAAAGCGGCGGGTGCGGAGCCAGCTGGCCAGATGAGAGATGAAAAATTGCACGCCATTGTGGCGCGAAGCACATTTGCAAGTCAAAATGTGCAAAACACCTGGGTCTCGGAGCACTTTTGGAAGTTGAGATGTCGAAAAAGTGCACGCCGTTGTGGCGCGAAGCACATTTGCAAGTCAGAATGCACAAAACACTTTTGGCAGTTGAGATGTCGAAAAAGTGCACGCCGTTGTGGCGCGAAGCACATTTGCAAGTCAGAATGCACAAAACACACCATTCTCGGACCACTTTTGGAAGTTGAGATGTCGAACAAGTGCACGCCGTTGTGGGCGCGAAGCACATTTCGAAGTGAACATGTACAAAACACCTCAGTGTCGGACCACTTTTGGAAGTTGGGATGTCGAAAAAGTGCACGCCGTTGCGCGAAGCACATTTGGAAGTGAAAATGTACAAAACACTACATGTTGGCGCCACTTTTGGAGGTTCAGATGTTGTTTTGCGTGGCAGGCGCAAAGGATTGTGCACCTTGTCAAAAGTGAGCAAAACGTGAGGGTTTTGTAGCATTTCCAGAAACGATGGCAGGCGTGGGGCATTTGAAGAGGATCTTCAAAGATGCATTTCGCGTGGCAGGTGCAGTACAAAAGACATGTTCATCAGAGATGTTCGGAGGTCAGGGCGCTCATTTCCTGAGAGAGGTTGCATTTTGGAGTATCAGATCTTCAGGTTTGCTGAGATGATTTTGCGTGACAGGTGCAGCACGTCGTATGACCTGGCATCAATTTTTGGTGGCAGGCGCAGTAGAGTACTTTACACAGGTGGAGTGGAAAAATCGCAAAACGCATTGGTACGAGGCTCCCAGCGCTGCACTCAACTTTCCATTTTTGAAGGAAGTCTTGCAGAATTGCTTTGTTTTTGACGTTGTTAAGTTCAAACATTGAGGAAGTCTCGCAGAATTGCTGCGGTTTTGGACGTTGTTAGGTTGGAAAAAAAAGAAGTGTCGCAGAATGTCGCAGAATTGATCTGTTTTTGATGTTGTTAAGTTCCACAAATGAGGAAATCTCGCAGAAGAGCTTCGTTTTCAATCTGGCAGATAGACAGATAGACAGATAGATAGATAGATAGATAGTTACATAGATAGATAGTTACATAGATAGATAGTTACATAGATAGATAGATAGATAGATAAATAGATAGATAGATAGATAGATTAGATAGATAGATAGATAGATAGATAGATAGATAGATAGATAGATAGATAGATAGATAGATAGATAGATAGAAAGATAGATTGATAGAAACATAGATAGGCAAATAGCTAGAAAACTAGACAGCTAGAAAGATAGGTAGATAGATAGATAGATAGATAGTTACATAGATAGATAGTTACATAGATAGATAGTTACATAGATAGATAGATAGATAGATAGATAGATAGATAGATTAGATAGATAGATAGATAGATAGATAGATAGGTAGATAGATAGATAGACAGGTAGATAGATAGATAGATAGATAGACAAATAGCTAGAAAACTAGACAGTTAGATAGATAGGTATGTAGATAGATAGATAGATAGGGAGATAGATAGGCAGACAGACAGACAGACAGACAGACAGACAGACAGGCAGGCAGATAGATAGATAGATAGATAGATAAACAGATAGATCAGCAGGTAGGTAGGTAGATGTAGGTAGATAATCAGAGAAAGATAGAAAAAAACAGAGAGAAAAAGAGAGAAAGAGAGAGAAAGAGAGAGAGATCAAGCACCTTTCAGTCCATCAGTGGCTTCGCTCTGCCATCCCTGATTCACAACAACCAACCTCTCCTATAGGTTTCCTATTTTTGAAACTTCCGCCACCGCCTTGTGCGGTGCTACTGGTAGACATGTTTTGAACAAATGGATTCAGGGGAATTCCAGTATGTTTTTATAACAACCAGGGAGCGATGTATTGCCGGCTCATGGCCTGCCAAGCATCATGATCCGAAGACGTGTTCCAACTGCTGTCTGCGTCACTTCCCCATACGACCTTACAATTCACGGAGTCCCATGCTGAGCAGCTGCTGCCATAATCTGCTGCAAAGTTCCCGTTTCCATCAAAGGTACCAGCTGGTAGTTGCCCGCGACACTCACAAAGTGACTCCCACTTGCAGGCTGACACAGCTTCTGCATCTAACTCGCAATGCTCCTCACTCCAGAAATGACCAGGCCACAAAGTCGATCCACGAGCAGTTGGACAATTCTCAGACACCCAACACCAGGAAGTGCAACACCACATTGCATGGTCTGCGCCAGGAAAGAATTTGTCACACTCGTCTGCATCGTGTGGACCGCATTGTGACCCATAGTCAGCATAAAATGTGACATTCACACCCAGGCTTTCCAAAATATAAGTTGGAATGGCCGCATTCAAACAATCACACGACGTGTCAGTCGCAGAGACATTGGGTTGCGGCTTGTACGGGCACTGCATCATCAAGGCAGGGTCATCCACACAAACTGTATCTGACCAGTACAAAATGCCTTCCATGCCCGGATTTAGGGATGCAACGGCACTGGGGCATTCTTTGTCGACATAGCACCAGTTTGCGCAACACCAGGTGTCGACCTACAAGTACAAGGCGTTTTGAAGAGCACGTCAAGCAACAGCATAATAGTACCAGTGCTTGATTTATGGTCTACACTGAGCTTTTTTATATACACATTTAATCACCTATCAAATATATTCAAATATCATATGCGGCGGAAACCTACGAAACCCCAGGAGTTTACACCCGTCTTGCTGTTTAACAAACCACCAGCCTGGTCTGGTCGATAGTTGGCAGCACAATTGACCATGTCCCAAGTACTGCAGCTCGAGCCATAGCTGTCCACAAACTTCCTTGACAGCTGAGATGTAGCCACATGAGGTAGCTGATGCAATGACATCTCCGATACAGGACCGCAATTGTTTCTGCCGGAATTAACCCAACCAGGTGGATTGTGGAGGGTCCAAAGTTAAGCAACATACCGTATCCGTATATATCCGTATCACGTTAAACCTGCCAGCACCAAGGCTCGCTTGCATCGCAGCATTGAAAAGGCTGCTCTGATCCTTGCCTTGCGATGCAAAACATGAGATGTGTAATTACCTGAGAAGGGGGGCGCAAGCCAGCCCTTAGCCCGAATTGGATTGTATGAACAGAAGCCCAAACCATCTGCAGCACCTTTGGAAGACTTCTCCTTGCTTTGCAACCCTTCGCCCCCCCTTCCTCAGTATCACTTCTCATCCCCTTGCAAACTATCTTGTTCCGAACCAACAGACGCTGCTCTCCGTTGAGCTTCGGAGTTCCTCCATTTTCCTCCGTTTTCCCGCTGATTTTAACGATTATCCTTCATATTCTTTCGTTTTTTTCAAACCTTTTTCCTGCCGTTCCTCCACTTTCCTCCGTTTTCCTCCTCCGTAACCTCCCGTAACCCGTAACCTCCCATGACCTCCCGTGACCTCCCGGCCAGGATTTGGCCCAAAACGGCCATGTCCCAATGATCACAGAAGAGAAATTCAATAGGCGGCTGAGGGGCCGCCAAATGGCAGAAAAATTGCTCCCGTGACCTCCCGTGACCTCCCGTGACCTCCCGTGACCTCCCGTGACCTCCCGTGACCTCCCGTGACCTCCCGTGACCTCCCGGCTAGGATTTGGCCCAAAACCGCCGTTTCCCAATGATCCCAGAAGAGAAATTCAATAGCCGACCGAAGGGCCGCTAAATGGCAGAAAGTTGCTCCCATGCTTCCCCGTAACCTCGCGTAGCCAACTGTCACCTCCCTCCAATACAGAGACAGACACAGACACAGACAGACATACACACAGCACTCTACACTTCACACTCTACACTTTACACTCTACACTTTACACTCCACGCTCCACACTCTACAGTCTAGACTTTACACTCTACACTTTACACTCCACACTCCACACTCTACACTTTACACACTACACTTTACACTCTACACTCTTCACTCTACACTCCATACTTTACACGTTACACTTTGCACTCCGCAATTTCTCACTGCACACTCCACACTTTGCACTTAACACTTTACACTCCACACTTTACACTCCACACTCCACACTCTACACTTTACACACTACACTTTACACTTTACACTCTTCACTCTACACTCCATACTTTACACGTTACACTTTGCACTCCGCAATTTCTCACTGCACACTTTACACTCCACACTTTACACTCTACACTCTTCACTCTCCACTCCATACTTTACACTTTACAATTTACACTTTACACTCCTCACTGCACACTTGACGCTCCACACTCAACACTTTACACTCCACACTCCACACTCTACACTCCACACTCCACACTCTACACTTTACACTCTACACTTTACACTCTACACTCTACACTCTACACTCCACACTTTACACTTTACACTTCAGACTCCTCACTCCACACTTTACACTCTACACTTTACACTCTACACTCCACACTTTACACTTTACACTGTACACTTCCCACTCCACACTTTACACTCCACACTCTACACTTTACACTCTACACTCCACGCTCTACACTCTACACACCACACCTTACATTTTACACTCTACACTCTTCACTCTCCATTCCATCCTTTACACTTTACACTTTACACTTTACACTCCTCACTGCACACTTGACGCTCCACACTCCACACTTTACACTCCACACAATACACTTTACACTCTACACTTTACACTCTACACGCTACACTCCACACTTTACACTTTACACTGTACACTTCTCACTCCTCACTCCACACTTTACACTCTACACTCTACACTCCAAACTTTACACTCCACACTCCACACTCCACACTTTACACTCCACACTCTACACTTTACACTCTACACTTTACACTCTTCACTCTACACTCCACACTTTCCACTTTACACTTTGCACTCCATACTCCACACTTTACACTCCACACTCCACACTCTACACTTTACACTCCACACTCCACACTCTACACTTTATAAACACACTTTGCACTCTACACTCTTCACTCTCCACTCCATACTTTACAATTTACACTGTACTCTTCTCACTCCACACTTTACACTTTACACTCTACACTTTACACTCTACACTTTACACTCTACACTCTACACTCCACACTTTACACTTTACACTGTACACTTCCCACTCCACACTTTACACTCCACACTCTACACTTTACACTCTACACTCCACGCTCTACACTCTACACACCACACCTTACATTTTACACTGTGCACCCCTCACTCCACACTCCACACTCTACACTTTGCACTCTACACTTTACACTCTGCACTTTACACTTTACACTCCACACTCTACACTTTACACACTACACTTTACACTCTACACTTCACACTCCACACTCCACACTCTACACTTTACACACGACACTTTACACTCGACACTCTTCACTCTACACTCCATACTGTACACTTTACACTTTACACTCCCCACTCCTCACTGCACACTTTACACTCCACACTCCACACTTTACACTCCACACTCTACACTTTACACTCTACACTTTACACTCTACACTACACTTTCCACTCCACACTCTACACTTTACACTTGACATTTCCGTCATTTTCTTTGGTTTTCTCCTACCTTTTTGCTGCCGTTCCTCCACTTTCCTCCGTTTCTCCCTCCGTAACCGCCCGTAAACCTCCCGTAAACCTCCCGCGACCTCCCGGCCAGGATTTGGCCCAAAACGGCCGTTTCCCAATGATCCCAGAAGAGAAATTCAATAGCCGACCGAAGGGCCGCTAAATGGCAGAAAGTTGCTCCCATGCTTCCCCGTAACCTCGCGTAGCCAACTGTCACCTCCCTCCCATACAGAGACAGACACAGACACAGACAGACATACACACAGCACTCTACACTTCACACTCTACACTTTACACTCTACACTTTACACTCCACATTCCACACTCCACAGTCTAGACTTTTTACTCTACACTTTACACTCCACACTCCACACTCTACACTTTACACACTACACTTTACACTCTACACTCTTTACTCTACACTCCATACTTTACACGTTACACTTTGCACTCCGCAATTTCTCACTGCACACTTTACACTCCACACTTTACACTCCACACTCTACACTTTACACTTTACACTCCACACTCTACACTCCACACTTTCCACTTTACACTTTACACTCCATACTCCACACTTTACACTCCACACTCCACACTCTACACTTTACACTCCACACTCTACACTTTACACACTACACTTTACACTCTACACTCTTCACTCTCCACTCCATACTTTTACACTTTACAATTTACACTTTACACTCCTCACTGCACACTTGACGCTCCACACTCCACACTTTACACTCCACACTCCACACTCTACACTTTACACTCTACACTTTACACTCTACACTCTACACTCCACACTTTACACTTCACACTTCAGACTCCTCACTCCACACTTTACACTTTACACTCCACACTTTCCACTTTACACTCCATACTCCACACTTTACACTTTAGTCTCCACACTCCACACTCTACACTTTACACTCCTCACTGCACACTTTACACTTTACACACTACACTTTACACTCTACACTCTTCACTCTCCATTCCATCCCTTACACTTTACACTTTACACTTTACACTCCTCACTGCACACTTGACGCTCCACACTCCACACTTTACACTCCACACACTACACTTTACACTCTACACTTTACACTCTACACGCTACACTGCACACTTTACACTTTACACTGTACACTTTTCACTCCTCACTCCACACTTTACACTCTACACTCCACACTCCACACTTTACACTCCACACTCCACACTTTACACTCCACACTCTACACTTTACACTCTACACTTTACACTCTTCACTCTACACTCCACACTTTCCACTTTACACTTTACACTCCATACTCCACACTTTACACTCCACACTCCACACTCTACACTCCACACTCTACACTTTACAAGCACACTTTACACTCTACACTCTTCACTCTCCACTCCATACTTTACAATTTACACTGTACACTTCTCACTGCACACTTTACACTTTACACTCTACACTTTACACTCTACACTTTACACTCTACACTGTACACTCCACACTTTACACTTTACACTGTACACTTCCCACTCCACACTTTACACTCCACACTCTACACTTTACACTCTACACTCCACGCTCTACACTCTACACACCACACCTTACATTTTACACGGTGCACCCCTCACTCCACACTCCACACTCTACACTTTGCACTCTACACTTTACACTCTGCACTTTACACTTTACACTCCACACTCCACACTCTACACTTTACACACTACACTTTACACTCTACACTTCACACTCCACACTCCACACTCTACACTTTACACACGACACTTTACACTCGACACTCTTCACTCTACACTCCATACTGTACACTTTACACTTTACACTCCCCACTCCTCACTGCACACTTTACACTCCACACTCCACACTCTACACTTTACACTCTACACTTTACACTCTACACTTTACACTCTACACTACACTTTCCACTCCACACTCTACACTTTACACTTGACATTTCCGTCATTTTCTTTGGTTTTCTCCTACCTTTTCGCCGCCGTTCCTCCACTTTCCTCCGTTTCTCCCTCCGTAACCGCCCGTAAACCTCCCGTGACCTCCCGGCCAGGATTTGGCCCAAAACGGCCGTTTTGCAATGATCCCACAAAAAAAATTCAATCGGCGGCGGAGGGGCCGCCAAATGGCAGAAATTTGCTCCCGTGACCTCCCGTGACCTCCCGGCTAGGATTTGGCCCAAAACGGCCGTTTCCCAATGATCCCAGAAGAGAAATTCAATAGCCGACCGAAGGGCCGCTAAAGGGCAGAAAGCTGCTCCCATGCTTACCCGTAACCTCGCGTAGCCAACTGTCACCTCCCTCCCATACAGAGACAGACACAGACAGACATACACACAGCACTCCACACTTCACACTCTACACTTTACACTCTACACTTTACACTCCACGCTCCACACTCCACAGTCTAGACTTTACACTCTGCACTTGACAGTCTACACTTTACACTCTACACTCCACACTCCACACTTTACACTCCACACTCTACACTTTACACTCTACACTTTACACTTTACACTTTACACTCCACACTCCACACTCCACACTCTACACTTTAGACACTAGACTTTACACTCTACACTTTACACACTAGACTTTACACTCTACACTTTACACACTACACTCTACACTCGACACTCTTCACTCTACACTCCATACTTTACACTTTACACTTTACACGCCTCACTCCTCACTGCACACTTTACACTCCACACTTTACACTCCACACTCTACACTCTACACTCTACACTTCACACTCTACACTCTACACTCCACACTTTGCACTTTACACTTTACACTCCACACTTTACACTCCACACTCCACACTTTACACACTACACTTTACACTTTACACTCTTCACTCTACACTCCATACTTTACACGTTACACTTTGCACTCCGCAATTTCTCACTGCACACTTTACACTCCACACTTTACACTCCACACTCTACACTTTAAACTTTACACTGCACACTCTACACTCTACACTCTACACTCCACACTTTCCACGTCACACTCGACACTTTCCACTCTACACTTTACACTCTACACTTTACACTCCACACTTTACACTCCACACTCCACACAATACCCTACACACTACACTTTACACTCTACAGTCTTCACTCTACACTCCATACTTTACACTTCACACTTTACACTCCACACTCTACACTTTACACTCTACACTCTACACTCCACACTTTACACTCCACACTCTGCACTTTACACTTTACACTCCGCACTCCACACTTTGCACTCCACACTCTACACCTTACACACTACACTTTACACCCTACACTCTTCACTCTACACTCCATACGTTACACTTTACACTTTACACTCCTCACTCCTCACTGCCTACTTTACACGCCACACTGCACACTTTACACTCCACACTCTACACTTTACACTCTACACTTTACGCTCCACACTCCACACTCTACACTTTACACACTACACTTTACACTCTACGCTCTTCACTCTCCACTCCAGACTTTACACTTTACACTTTACACTTTACACTCCTCACTCCTCACTGCACACTTTGCACTCCACACTCCACACTTTACACTCCACACTCTACACTTTACACTCTACACTCTACACTTTACACTTTACACTGTATGCACTCCTCACTCCACACTCCACACTTCACACTCCACACTCTACACTTTAAACTCCACACTTGACACTCTACACTCCACACCTTACACTTTACACTGTACACCCCTCATTCCACACTTTGTGTCAAAGATGATGTGTGACAAAGTGGTGTGGGACAAAGTTGTGTGCGAAAGATGGTGTGTGACAAAGCTGTGTGTGAAAGGGGTTGTGTCACAAAGTGGTGTGTGAAAGATGGTGTGTCACAAAGTAGTGTGTGAAAGATGGTGTGTGACAAAGTTGTGTGTGTGTGTGAAAGATGGTGGGTGAAAGATTGTATGTCACTTCACACCTTACACTCCACGCTCCACACTTCATACTCCATACTCCACACTCCACACTCTACACTTTCCACTCCACACTCCACACTCTACACTTTACACTTGACACTCCAGACTCTACACTTTACACTCTGCACTTTACACTCTACACTCTGCACTTTACACTCTACACTTCACACTCTACACTCTACGCTCCACACTTTACACTTTACACTACGCACTCCCCCCACAACAGTTTACACTTTACACTGTCCACCCCCTGCTGTAATAATGATCCTCAGCCCGCTGGTTAATCGTCTACTAGAAGCCCAAACCATCTGCAGCACCTTTGGAAGACTTCTCCTTGCTTTGCAACCCTTCGCCCCCCCTTCCTCAGTATCACTTCTCATCCCCTTGCAAACTATCTTGTTCCGAACCCCAACGGACGCTGTTGAGCTTCGGAATTCCTCCATTTTCCTCCGTTTTCCCCCTGCTTTGGACGATTTTCCTTCATTTTCTGTCGTTTTTTTCCTACCTTTTTCCTGTCATTCCTCCATTTTCCTCCATTTTCCCCCTGTTTTCAACGATTTTCCTTCATTTTCCTTGGCTTTTTCCTCCCTTTTTCCTGCCGGAGTCAACGGACCTAGGGGGAATCGAAGCCTACCGTCACCTCTTTGCGTAGTGGTACATGCCCCCCAAAAAAGTTCAATTTACCCGCCCTCCACTGCAACTAATTTCGAGATTTTCGTGCCACACGCGACGACCACCCCCCAGACCCCCTAATACTCACTTCGTTCGCCAAAACAACTTTGCCTAGCCTATCGGCTGGCTTTCATAACATATGAACACACTGAAGCGGATATATATTGGTTTCATTGCTTCGCTTCTGAAAATAAATGAACATAGCATAGAGCCACACTGAGTCTGTGGTGTCTGCTGAGGCCTAAGGCTCAAGCTATAGCCAGAATGGTCCCATCAAGTGAGGCAGCTTATAGCGAATTGAAGGGTTATGTGGCAGTATGTGGCAGTCAATATTATGCCAAGGCACAGGTGCATGGATCTGCCTTTTTCTGAACTTCCGACCAGCTGCACGTGCTTGGTGGCGGATGTGTCACAGAGCAGGCTGCATAGCCTTGGTGTGTTCAATGTGTTTTCAATCGCAAGCTGATCCGACAGCCGCTGCATGCAGCAGCCATCTCTGTGCCAAGGAGCTGAAAAACTGCCCGGGGATGGCTTGGCTTTGATAGGCATCTGGACAGTCAGCAGTTGCATAGCACCAAGAGCGACAGCACCAATCGCCTGCGACAGTGGGTTTCTGTGATCTTCTTTGCACCCAGTTGGTACTTATCTGACGTCCAAGAGCTTAAATGAAGTATGAGGTATACGGTATACTGAGATGTATACTGTAGAATATCAGATAATTGAGCTCAAAGCCTTCTGCACAAGCCAAATAGCACATGTTTAAAGTTTAAAACGCAGACAGAGATCAACTCTAGATACTCTAGAATCTAGAATCAACATGAATCAACTTCTCAGGACTCAGCGGTCAGCGGTCTATGTGCCTACAGTGATATTGCCCCAAAGGGTGCCACACCGGGCTTCATCCCATTTACCGCAGGAACTTCCATAGCCCACACCTCAACTTCACAGCTTCGAGATCCTATGTGCAGAGCCTTCAAATCAGCCAACCAGTTCAACCCAGTTCTGACCAGTTCTAACCAGCTGACACTTTGATTTGAATGTGATCCCATATGACCTGCTGAGGCCCTTACAATGAACATGCGTGCAATCAAACCCTATGGTTTATATGTCTGCAAATCACCTTGCTTAGACAATGCTTCATTTAGATGATCACTTCATCACCTTGCTTATTAGACGCACATATGTACACCCTATAATTAGATTCCGGATCCGCATCACCATAAATCAAACGAGGCTCCGTATGTAGCAGAGACCTCTGGTGGAACATTGGGATTGGTGCAACTGCACGCGGAAGGAATTGCATCGCTCCCCTCCTGTAGCTCCACCGTTGTCTCCGGAACCACCTGCCGATGAAACTTGATGAAACCCACAAGGATCTCGGATGGATTTTGTGGACATGAGAACATCGAATATTCATCGAATTAAATCCAATGTGATCAGATTGCATCAGATTGCCATGTGATCTCTCGGAGACTTGCAGATTTGTTGCACCTGCTCTCCATAGAAATCTTCAATCTTGAAGGTGATTGACACAGCTTGCTTGCTGGCACGAATGAAGCCAACGATATGTGGTGCATCAACCTGCAACTCGTTTGTATAGTTGATGCCCAGGTTGTACTCCGGAAATTCGGGCGCATCGGTCATGCTACTGGTTGGCTTGGGACAAATGACCTGTGACAAATCTACAAGATGCCATGTTTCGTACGCATGCGCGGTCACAAAGAAAAGCAGCCAGCTCAAAACCGTAGACGTGAGCATTGTCAGATAATTACCTGACAATGCTTGGAACTGACCGCAAGGATCAACCAGTGCAAGCACAAACTTTGGCGCAGATTGCAGGTTGAAAAATCTTCAAACGTAGCATTGCTTGAGCCCAAATAGCATGTTGGTGTCATCATGCTCCAGCCATAGAAGGAATTTCACTTTGCACAAACCAAACTATTGCTTTCATCTGTGTCTTCGCGTCATGTCAACAAGAGACATCGGCAGAAGCAAGACGTGAACGAAAAAGGATAGCGATGATCTCCATCGAAGACATCAAGACAGTTCAAACATACCCCAGGAGGCTCTGCACTTCAAGGTTGATCTGGCCTCATTAGATCTCCAGGATTCTCCAGGCGTCCGCCGCACGCACATGCGCAAGAAAGTGAAAGGCAAAAACTAGGTCACAGCCACAGAAACATACAAAGTGGTGCTCCTCTGTGATTCCACACAGACATAACCACAGAGTAAAAAAACAAAATCCTTATCAGCCCGTCAATGCTCCTAAAAAAACGTGGAACATGGTGATCAAAAAATTGCAAAGCTCCGCCAGAATTGAAGCAGGATTCCGCAGGGTTAATTTTCTATATTGCGCCAGCTGCTGCGTGAGAGGCTCAAATACTCACCTTTGGCATGTCCAATTCTGAGTGGATTCAACTCAATGTATGCTGATCGCCGCCAACACCTCTCTTAGTGAAATATAGTGAAATAAAAGATGCCGATGGCTCTAAAATACTGTGGATGGAAAAAAAAATCCTGCACCACCTTGGATGGTCGAAACCCTATAAATAATTGGATAAACTGACTATCAACTGCTGCAAGATTTCTTCCATCCACAGTTCGTCTGTGTTTTAATTGGTAAACGCGCGCTCGCTGCAAGGCTGGAGGAACATAACCTAATTCCCCACCAAAAAATCTCACTGATCGCCGGCCAAATGTCCCCACGTTAAAATCCCATGAGTTCCATCAACCCTCTTTGATCATCTTTGATCTACTGGCAAGGTGATCTACAACACGACTTGTTCCGGGTAGCGAAGACTGGCAAGACTTTTTTCCAAGACAGGCGCTTGGTATGGCATCAGTTTCTGACAGATCAAGTATAATAAAACAATTTCTGCAAGCGAACTTCTACACAAAAGGCTCGTGGAATGAAGTCCATAAACCATGTGCAAAAGTGAATGCTTCGATTCAACAGCTCGTTGTTCCTGTACACATTGCGTTCCGACCCAGCTTTGGGAGTGCGGATGGATTCTGGCTGCACGGCTATGCACGGCTACTTGTGGAGATGGGGGAGGACGAGCATCAGCAACAGAACTGCCAAGGGCGCGAAGCCGGTAGCAGCTCCGGCTCCGGTTTGTTCTACCGCTTCCACAACATCTTGCCGAGAAAGAACCTCAGCCACACAGCCAACATCAGCCGACCCGTTCCAACCCTTTCCACATTTGCCAACATTGGGCAACCCCGCATGGAAGAAGATATGCTTGCACAACATTTGTATTTTATAATCCTAGGCATTTTTTTGGTACATCATCTGATAACGGCATGCATCCCTTCATCCCTATGAAGTTTGAAGTCTTCTGACCTCTGTGGGGTCTTGAAGGAACCTGACTTGTCTGCAAGTGCCAAACATGCAAATTGAGCCCCCTTCTGATAACTTGACTTCTATCATGGGTTAACATATGTTATAACCAGGGGTATCTTACATGATAAATTCCATCTTTTGTTACACTTATAAGGTAACTTGTATCTTTTCAGTTGAAAGATACTAAAGGACGCAAAAAAGTTAGCAAAGTTAACTTTTTGTTTTTTTTCTATTTTAAAGTTAGCTCGGTTTGCCTTTTTTTATGTTGACTTGCATAAGATTGCTGCTTTTGGTTCAGACGTATGGGTTTTGCGCAATTTTGGAGCCACCGCCTGTTTCTTTGGCTTTATTGCCATGGCACGGAGGGTGCCGCCTCCAGCTGCTTCTGAGCAGTCTAGTGCCCAAATGCAAGCAAGAGTGGACACGTTTCCCTTTTGTATCTGACTCAAGATGTGTGGGAGACATTGAGAAACTCTGGAAGACAGCTTCGTAAAGTGGAAGCTGTCGCTAGTCATTTGACTAGCCTTGGTCTCTGTCATCCATCAGAGCGTACCATAGCGACGGAACGGGGTTGCTGGCACCACAACTGAACCCGAACCGCACAGGCCAGCTGAAAAAAACGCTGTGGGTGGACGGAGTAGATACAAGTAGCAAGCAGCAAGCAGCAAGCAGCAAGCAGCAGCAGGCAAGAAGCAAGCAGCAGCAAGCAGCAGCAGCAGCAGCAAGCAGCAGCAGCAGCAGCAGCAGCAGCAAGCAGCAGCAAGCAGCAGCAAGCAGCAGCAAGCAGCAGCAAGCAGCAGCAAGCAGCAAGCAGCAAGCAGCAGCAAGGAGCAGCAAGGAGCAGCAAGGAGCAGCAACAACAGGCAAGCAGTAGGTGAGCAAGCAGGTGCAAGCAGCAGGTGCAGCAGTAGGTGAGCAGCAGGTGCAGGCAGCAGCAGGCAAGCAGCAGGCAAGCAGCAGGCAAGCAGCAGGTAAGCAGCAACAAAAAAGCAGCAACAAAAAGCAGCAACAAAAAGCAGCAACAAAAAGCAGCAAGCAGCAGGCAAGCTGCAGGTGAGCAGCAACAGGTAAGCAGCAGCAAGCAGCAGCAAGCAGCAGCAAGCAGCAGCAAGTAGCAGGCAAGCAGCAGGCAAGCAGCAGGCAAGCAGCAGGCAAGCAGCAGGCAAACAGCAACCAGCGTTTGCCCCCTTGAAAGAATGATCAAATATATTTTTTAAAATCAATGCCATAAAAAAAATTGAACTTTTTTGCAGCTGCACGGCCCCAAAACAATGAAATTGTTCAATTACTAAAGTTACTGAAAGTTGTGGTGATGCCAAACTTGAACTTTTTCCAGGCGCCCGGCCTCCCGATACGACTTTTACAAGCTGATACGACTTAACGCTAGCGCTAGTAGCAACTAAAAAACACAAAACGCGTATGTATATTGTTGTAATCGAAGGGAAAGGCTAAGGTCGCGTATGCGTTTTCTACCCATGACCCCAGAACGCGTATGTGTTTTCATACCTTTCCTTGTGTTTTTGTTTGATATGAAACTGTGTTAGAGATGTGTTGTTTTTGTGTTTTTCGTGTTTTTTGGCAAATAAGACAACACATGAAACAAAAACGCGTATGTATATTCTCCTCTTTATTAGTGCATATTAGCGCAATCCAGCAAACGCGTATGTTTTTGAGGGTTTTTAAGCCCCAAGAGAATATGCGTAGTGTTTTTGCCACAAACACTCATGTCTAGAAAAAACAAACAAGGTTGTGCGCAACTTTTTATTTCTCGAGCAGAAGTTGTTGATCTCCTGCTATGGGGTGGCAATGCTTGCCATGCTGGTCGGTGCCACTTCTTCGTGTCCAAAAATTAAAGGACCGGATAACCCCACATGTTACCAATTTCTTTAGACTTAGACTGACCATAGAAGAGCAAAAGGGAAGAGGAAGTATAAGAGTGATGGAGCGGTGATGGTGGGTGAGTTTGTGTGTATGTATGTATGTTCATGTACAGTGAGTGAGTGAGAGTGTGAGTGAGTGATGTGAGTGTGGTGTGTGTGAGTGAGGGATGTGAGAGTGAGTGAAGTGAGTTGAGTGAAGTGAAGTGAAGTGAAGTGAAGTGAAGTGAAGTGAAGTGAAGTGAAGTGAAGTGAAGTGAAGTGAAGTGAGTGAGTGGGTGAGTGAGTGAGTGAGTGAGTGAGTGCGGTAGGTGAGGTAGGTGAGGTAGGTGGTGAGGTAGGTGAGGTAGGTGAGGTAGGCGAGGTAGGTGAGGTAGGTGAGGTAGGTGAGGTAGGTGAGGTAGGTGAGTGACTGAGTGAGTGAATGTGAGTGAGTGTGAGTGAGTGTGAGTGAGTGTGAGTGAGTGTGAGTGTGAGTGAGTGTGAGTGTGAGTGAGTGTGAGTGAGTGTGAAGCCTCCCATTAACGTCCCCACCACCGGCCAACGTGGTGTCGGCTCGACCGAAGCCGAACCGTTTGGTAAGGACGAAGGCATCAACCTCAGTGAAGAAACAGGACTGAAGATGAACCTGTTCTTTTCCTTCCATCTTCAATAGTGATTTAAATGACGTACAGACCTCACGGTGACCCCGGCTTCCAAGTCCGTTGAAAGCAAAATTCTAAGAAAAAAACTCATCATCAAAACTCCCGGAACTGGAGCTGCAGCCCAGAGGCAAGAGCCTGCCTTGGAGTAGTTGCTCACGGAGGTGCTGAGTCAGGCGACGAACCGACCTGCCCCCCGCCAAGGTGGGGGAACCATCCTAGCCCCTGAGAATATTATAGGAACGGGCAATAGTTACATATATATGTTTGAACAGTGTAAACAAATCGCTAAGGCTGTCAAATCGAAATATTCCATAGCTGTAAGACAATGATTCGACGATATGCACCGCATCACAATACGTGACCAAGTGTGTAATGTCATGGTGAGCCTAACTAAAACTTTTGTCAGTCCCGAGATTGTCCTGCAACAGCTTGAAGCGATCACTGCTTGCAGCAGCTGAACCAAAGCGCGCACGGGGACAACCTGGTCGTCCGTCGTGTTTTGGACGGAGGTGGATACCCTCGCAGACAGATAGCCAGTCACACGTCTCGTGCGTGTACATGTTGAGTTTGTCTGCTGACAGGTGGGAACCACATGACACCACCGCCAGCCACTGTAACGCGTCCATCTGTTTCGCCTAGGCAGTGGCGAGATGTTTCTCCTGGCTTCAAAACAGCAAGGTAGCTGTAGTTCTCCTTGCTCACCCTTTTCTTCACACATCTGTGATGACCTTGGTGATCGCCGTGATGTTCTTCTCCAGGAAATAGCTAGTTACTTGCTTCTTCAAAATGACCTCGTCAACCATCAATTTGAGGCCACTCGATCAATCCCAAAAAAGGTCAAATGGACCATCTCAAAGGGGATCACTTTGAAGAAGCAACAGAAAATAGTTTTTGCTTTTCTTTTACTTAGAAAAGTCCGTCCGTCCAGAGAGAGGCCTATCTGCCCACAACAAGAGATCGGGGGGAACCG